CTGTGCAAATTTTGTGTTTTGTTTTCCTATGCACATGTTGTTGTTGTCAGTTTGTCGAACATGGTCGTAAAAGTGTAATACTGTCATTTTGCATTTTGAACACATTTAATTGTGTTTTCCTAAATAAAGTAGACGATAATGACTAATAAACAGGAAAGAATACGCCGTTATGACAGTGTGGAGGAGGAAAAGAATAAAGAAAACACGGTCTTTACTTTTTATATCAGCACCATAGGAAGCAGATGAATGATTTGTTTTCAGCAGTAAAAAGCAGTGAAGCTGAAAGATTTTGCATTTTATGCCATTCCCTCAGACAGACAGCTTTTCATGTCCACTTTTATCTTCCTCTCAGGGATGAACCCACCCTCCGCTGCCACACTGGACATTATTTCAGTCAGGACTTTATAGCTGGGAGAGCTGTTCTCCCAACCCCCCCCCACACACACACACAAGATTATAATTTAAGTACAACTATCCTGATTACCATGTATGAGACATTCACATCTCAACAACACTTTACTCCATTACAAGTGGAGTAAAATCTGACTCAAACAACATGTAGAGACAGAACTGGTGGATTTTTGGCACCTACCATCTGTGCAATGCCTCGGTTAGTGAGGATGTAGCGTGCATGGATGAGGCCGTACAGCATCTCAGCAGCCTGCTCAATCAGGTCGCTCTGGTTGGGATTGTCCTCAAGCTCCTCATCTAAAGAAATCAGAAACAGGGAAACTACTCACGCTTTTGACAGTTGGAAAAAACATAAATTTATCAGAGGAAAAGGAAACGCTGGGAATAAAACAGAGAGACTGGGACACATTATGGTTTTCTAAAGGTGCTCCAGGAATAAAAGAGTATGAAACAAAGATGTTCTGAGCAAGTTTGAAAAGAGAGAGGAAACCTGCACAAAGCACCTCAAATCAAAAGAAAGCCGAGATCAAATGTCCCCTCTCATTATTTGTTAATGACAGAAGGAACAAAAGCTTAGGAGATGTCACAGACATGAAACACTCGCAGCTCTTTTAGTCTTACTTCCTGATGTCTGCTGCAGATGGGAGGTGATAAACAGTAATACTTCTGCATACAGACAACAAACAATAAAGCGACTTTCCACTCCACACAGCAGGCAGCTCCTCATGTTTTATTTGGCATATTTTTAGGCCAGATTGGTGATACAACCCCAGAGGGGTTTGTGTCTCCTTCCGGGATCAAACTGGGGATCTTTTGCTTGTTTGGCAAATGTGTCACATAAGCAAACACTGACATACCTTATTTACTTAAAACTGAGAACAATGAGTCAGGAATGCAACATACAGACCTGGTTCAAGGTCCAGGATCATGTCTAGAGCCTGGCGGTAGTGTGGAACCTGCTCATTGAGCCCAGTTAGGTTGAATTTGTCCTGGATGTAGTCTTCATCCACCTGTCATTGGACAAACCACAAATCAGACTCATTTGAGGAATCAAGTAGCTGTAAGAACAGAACTCCCTGAAAGTTGATTCTGTTCATCTGATCGTAGCGTTTTCAGCAGGCAAAATATTTTAACAATCCTCAAAATGACTTGTTCAGTTTGAAACAGATCCTCCGATTTCTTCACGAAGCTGGATGTGTGATAAAACATTTCTCCAACTGACAACGCTCCTCATGAACAGAAATCACTTTCTGGAATTTCTTTACCTGGGTGATTGAGGATCCATCAAGACAGGAGTATGAACTGTTTAACCCTTACAGTGACTGTCCCAGACGTTTTCTGCTAGTTTATTACTATTACTGTGTTATTGATATTTTTAACTTTTTCATAGTTTTTTGTTTTTACACATTTTAGCATTTCTGCACAAACTATTTGAATTATTACACATCTACACACAAGATGTGTACTCTAAGTCCAGAAATGCACATGTAGGATGTTGCCTTTCTCCAGTTTAGAAACTGCTGGGAGAAAACCCAACTGTACACCAGGTAGCTGTAATAAATTTGATAAGCAGGAGTTTTTTTGAAGGTCTCCATCACTTTACCCTAAAGAAATCTGTGAATTTTTCCTCTTTTGGTAACAGAAATGTTATTTCATTTTCTCATTCTGGCTGCTTTCTTTAGGTGAATCATCAGTCTGCATCTCATCCTATCCCTAACATCTTCCTCAGTCACACCATCCCTCTGCATCTCCTCCTTCAAAACATCCATGAACTTGCTCTGTGGTCTTCCTCTTTTCCTCCTGCCTGCCAGCTACATCTTCAACATCCTTTGTCCAGCATATCCACTATCCCTCCTCCGCACGTGTCTAAACTGTCTCACTTTGTTCCCACACCACTCAATCTGAGCCCTCCCTGATATACTCATACAATACAACTTCATTTATATAGCACATTTAAAACCGAAGGCACGCCAAAGTGCTTCACAACGAGGTAAAAACATAAGATATAAGATAAAAGGCTATATATAACAAATACAAACAACCCCAAAAAGTACAGACAAAATAAGAAATAAAACATTGGAGCATAGTTTAGAAGATAGAATTACTGGGTATTCATGAATATAAGGTGGTGGGTATTTATACTGTGGAATATTGGTAGAAGATAAATAACATAAGGGTAAAATACAGGGGATGTGCACTAGCTAATTTCTATCCCTGTCCACCCTTGCTCTTTTTCGCGATAATCTTAGCAACTGCTACTCTGCCACTACTCTGTCTCCAAACCATGCATGGCCTTATATCACAAATAACCCCTGACACTCATGTGTTGTAAAAATATGTCCACCTTGGTTCCTCACCTCACAGAAAAACTCATTCCCCCGCAGCCCACAGAACCAGGAGATCCATGAAACCTCTTCTGAACTGCTCATCTCTGAAGACCTGAAAAACGAAACAGTAAATTGTGAGTGGGGAAAAAGCCAACATTCAACAGCTTCATATTACAGTAGCTAGGTCTGGTTTAACGCGGCACAAAAAGAAGCTGTTCATCTGGTGTGAGCACCTGATTAGCATTGATGCTAACCCCTGGAAAATAATGGGCTATTTCTTGTTTTTTCGATAACGCTATGAATGCAACACTAAGCGTTCACTCACTAAATAACAGATTTAACCGATACTTTCGCCCAACTGGACTGTTTGTTAGTCATTTATTAACCTTTTCTTGTGAAAAGATGATAAAAGCATATCAGTAACAGTCGCTGCTCAAGATCTGTAAAGCCAGCTAGCAGGTATTACCTTCTCCCTGCCGTAAGGGTAACTTTTAAAGTTTGCTTTATCACATTTAGCGCAGATTTTCTGTCAAAACGCGTCTAATGAATAACAAATGGGCTAAATCCGGCCTTACATGTATGCTGTAGTCCTGCGTGCCGGGTAACGTTAGCATGCTAAGCTAAAACCAGATGAGCGTCAATATGGCGCCTGGTACGACACCAGGCCCCGGAGCGGAGGTCTGCAGTGGCTCTTCTACCTCTGCGCTCAAACGGCTCAACGGAGTGATATGCGTAACAATGCTAACTTACCCGGCTTTCAGCTTTAACAATCCCGAAGAAATCAACAGATCAACAATTTAGCAATCTCACGGGTGTAAATAAGATGGACACCACCTCCCAGTTCACCCCGTAGGTTGCGCTTTTCCTCTTCCTCCGGTCTGCCGTCGGAAGGTTCAAGACTTATCGGTACTGCCGCTCACTGTTCAGTCCTGGTACTGCATGTTCGTGAAAAGGCTGTTTGGTAGCCCTCTTTTCCATCCTGTCTCGCTTTTTACAATAATAATTTACAAAAGTATATAAAATATGACCCGTTCAAAGTTTTTTTCTGATAACATCTACTAATGAATACATCAACTTCCATATTATTCTCATCCCTATCTCTAGAATTCTCCATTGACATTATATCCATGAATTGCTGTTGTCTTGCTCCTCCTGCATATGTCCAAACCATCTCAGCCTTTCCTCTCTTTGTCTCCACACCCCTCCAACCTGATCGGTCTCTCTCATGTACGTACTCATTTCTGAACTTATTGTCACTCCCAATGAAGTAATGACTAAACATTAAAATGTTTGTCATGAAACTTGGACCTAGAAATTTTAAAGAAAGCACAATTAAAATGTACAAATAAACGTTTTCTTCTGGATAACCATTGTTTGTATTATGGCTTAAAAGTGAGATTGAATCACAGTAAATATAAAGAAAAAGGAAAAAAAGCTTCAACTTCAGATGATTGTTCTTTCAAATCATTCATTAACCACCATCAAAAATAATCTCATGTCGAGATAAAAGTACAAGTAACCTGCACCTTGTACATTTATCTCAACAAGAGCCGTTCATGTACAGTTATTAGACTGAATTAAAGTGGAGCTACTGTCCTGACTTTCAGCTTATTTTATGCTGGGCCTTAGTGTAGCCTGTGACTTCATCCTGATTGGCTGCCCCTCGTAAGGAGAAATTTTAAACAGCATGTAGGTGTGACTTTTGTACTCTCTCTGACATCATACAAACCATGAATATACCATGAATAGAACCCCCCCCCCCAAAAAAAATAAATAAATAAATAAAACAAAACAAAAAATTGGACATGTTGTATTTAGAATAGTCTGACTGCGGAAACAAATCGGTCGCTTTTGCTCCCTCCACTAAAAGAAAAACAAAAGTTCAGGACAAAATATTCTCATTTCACTAAAATCCTCCAGGAGGAGCAGAGACTCCTGTGAACTGCGGCCGGATGAGCTAAAAATGGACCAGACGCCGCTTTTAGCGATGTGGAGGACGTGCTTCTGAGACGCTCCGTGGCACATCTTGTGTAATTGAAAGCAGCTCTGTGTACTCCTGTGGTGCAGCCTGAGGTTTTCTCTCAGGGATTGCTTTCACATACGCAGACCTCACGATCAGAAACTCAACACGAACATCTAACACTGTAACAACACATACATGTCACACACAAGCACCACCACCATCAATACAACCTTTCTTCTACCACACAAGCAGGCAGAGAACAATTTTATCATCAAAGAAACAGACGCACAACTTAAATGTTTCCATTAAATCAAAAGTAGTTTATTTAACTTTGCCTTCTCTGTATAACTTTATTATAATAAGACACTTCTCTGCTTGTACATTGCTCCCTTGAACTAAAAATGGCAACATTTGTTTGTGGGAATGTAAGTTGGGGTAGACAAAAACTTAGATACATACCAATATACATACATGTGTGTATATTACGGTTCCATTAATAAAACCATAAATGCTAAAAAAAACAAAACGGTCTGACCCACTCCAGGTACCTCAGTAATGCTGGAAACATAATACAATCTTGAGTAATTTTTTCTCTCTCTTTTATCTGGAATACACTTTTGTTTTTAACATGGGTACATACAATAATGCGCACATCAACATTAAGAGTTAAGGAGGGATGAAGGACTCTTTGAGCCAGTGTTAAAGAGTATAACTATCAATGAAGAAACCAGTAACAGGCAAGGCAAGCTGCACCCACGTGTGTTCATGCTCAGAAGTCATAGTGGAAAAATAAAATATGTCCAACTTCGCTTGCCTGCTGATGCTTAAATTACACAAAAGAAAACCAACTGGTGACATTTCCCACTGCAGATTCTTAATCTGGATGAACATATACACACAGCTGAATGTATATATGTGGATGTATTTAAGAAACAGTAGAATTGTCTTAATAATAATTGGTTAAATCACTCGCGGGCAAACAAGGCAGAAAAGTGCTCGCCATTCATGTTATAACCCTCTGGTCCCCCACCCTCAACCCTCCCCCCCCTGCCCCTCGTTATTACACAGACACCAGAAAACAAACGAAACCAAAAACAAAACAACCAAACACACGTACACACACGCTCACATACACGCACACATACACAAATCATCAAATGCCCTACTCACAACATCCCAGAGACAACCTTCACACTGTTGTCAGTAAACAAACGAACCCCAACTTACAGCAGTGACAGAATTGATGAAGATGTGAAAACATGTTAGTTCACCTTCGCCGTTGTCTCCAGTCTTTCTGTGTCTCTTAAACTTATGTTTGAGTGTGTAATCTTACATCGATCCCACATTTCCTCACTTCAGGTCAGCATTAATTGTTGCAAGTAAAATCTTGAAAACCGTGCAGCAAACTGCAGAAAGCGACGCTCGGTCACCCCCCCGGTTCGGCTTTAAGTCCTGAATTTTAATTTGAGCTCCCGCTTGCTGCCGTCCAAACGAAAACAGCCTTCCCGAGTAAACACGCCTGTGAAAAATACTTCATACCTCAGACAAGGAGTCCTTCTTGGTGCGAGGAGCCTCCGCTACGACAAGCAGAGGGGTGTACAACACTCGGCCTTAGCTGTGTACTCTGGGCCCAGACAGAGTACCCCGTCCTGCTTTATCATGTGTAACTTGCCCAAGTCATTAACACAAAAGAAGAGGAAAAGAACCAGCAACAGTGGATGTTTGTTATACTACAAGGAGTGCTTATTAGAACATACTCGATCATCTATCGAAGCATAAACAATTTCAGGAAAAGTCAAACATCTGCTTTATTCTATCATGACCTACATTTTCATTTAATTCATTCCCCCCGACTTGAAAGGAGGGAAAAACACATTTCCATTAAAATGGAAGTCACCCCGAGAAAATAATAGATATTAAAATAAAGCCATCACGCCATCGATACAGTCTTCAGGAGGGCAAACGGAACTCAAAGAAAGGGAGCTTCAAACTACTGTCTGTTGGGGGAAACTTTAGATTTTTGCAGTGTGCAGAAATTCTGCAGGTGAGATGCTACGACGAGGCCAAAAACCTCCTCTTTAAAGAAAAAAAAATAATAATAACAAGACAAATTATAATGAAATGTCAGAGCAGATTATTCAAAAAATAAAAACAAAATTCAAACCATCGACCTGAACAAGCAGCAGAAACATTGATATAAAGACCAATCACTGAGCAGTAGTACTTTAACAGGTCTCATCACAGTAATCGGACCAAAAAGTCAGTCAGAGGAGGAATTTGGACATTTTTAGTAAAAATTTAGTTTAATGACTTGCTTTGTTGAAGAGAGAAAACACGCGCACGCACACACACACACACACACACACCCCTAAAATTCCTCACGAGGCTGAAAAATCAGAGCTGACACGAGGCCAAACAAAAGACAGAAACAAAACGTCTTATGGTACATTGTTCTTATTAAAAGATGTAGCTGCACCCCTTTCACTTGTGAAGGAAGTGATGCACAACTGCAATACAGAAAACCACACGAGGCCAGAGTGTGACAGAAATATACACAGACACATAAATATAAAAGTTTGGCCGATCCAAATATTCATGCCAATTTAATCCCACATTTTCCTTCTGCGCTCAAGTGACCTCACATGCTCTTTGTGGGGGTTTTAAAGATGTCACATTTGTGCTTGTATGTGTGAGTGTGTGTGGAGCTCAGTGTGACTGTCTTCTGTCAAAATGTGGTGTAACCCCCCTGCCCACCAATTGAACAATCACATGCTTGTCAAATCCAACCGGGGTGAGGAAGAGTTAAAAAAATGAAAAAAGAAAGAAAAAAAAGAGGGTGGGGCACAAATGAATAGAGAGCAAGATGGAACAAACTGAGAAATTTACAAGAACGGACGGCAGATACGAGGATGATGCAAAGGTGAAAGAGGTGACTGGGTGGGGAAGGAGGGGTGAATACCATCTCCATTTACTGTACAAAGCACTAATGCCAACAGATAAGCTGTGAAATTACGATCAAAAGGGATTAAAGGCGTAACAGGGTGGGGGTTAATGTGGGTGGGGTTTAACTGAAATGTCGCATATTCCATCACTTCCTATTTTTCGGTGAGGGCCAGTTGCCACGCTTCTCTCCCCGGTTGCCGCCTCCGCTGCCAGGTCCACCAGGGCCGCCGCCAGGTGGGCCACGGGGGCCTCTCCCCCCCCCTCCGCCACCTCCAGGTCCTCCGGCGTTGACCCTCCGGTTCTGCCGCTCCATCCCAGGACGCTGACTCGAGAAGCTTCGTTTGTTAGCAGAGGGTTCTTTACCCGTCATCTCACGCTCCACGATGCTGCCGCCTCCTCCTCCTCCGCCTCTTCCCATGTGGTGGTGATGATGAGAACCATACGACTTCCCTCCTCCTCCCCCTCCCCCTCCCCCCTCTCTGTCTCTGAACTCTGTGAAGTCGCTGCTCTCAGAAGCTGTCTCCCACTCCTCATTGGCTTGGTCTGAGTTCTGGTTGGTGAAGTCAGGCGACTTGGCACCGTGGGGGTGCTGTGGATGCGTGGGACCCACACTGCCCTGGTTGTAGTGGTGATGGTGGTGGCTGTTCGCATTACTGAGGTGCCCGCCACTGTTGTTACTGTTGGCCGTTAATGTGGCGTTGTGGGTAGCATTCTGGGCATTTCCTGTCATGGGAGCAGAGACTGGGGCTCCGTTACCATCTTGCACAGAATTAATGGAAGGAGACGAGGGCCTTTCTCCACCAATGACCCCCACACTGCCGTTGATACGAGCAGCATTCTCCCGCTCCTTCAGTTTCCGGAAGCGGGGCGGCTTGTCCTGCTGGTGCTGGGATCGCCCATGACGACGGCGCCTAGGTGGTCGCTCAAAGCCACGATTAGAAGGAAGAGGAAGAGCATTTGGCCCTCCAGAGTTTGACACAGGTTTTGCAGAAGTTTGCTGGGTCGCAACTCCACCATTTTCAGTGGAAACCAGAGTAGCAGAGGTTGTTGTAGCAGGCAGAGAAGGCTGAGGGGGGTTGGTCCCCTGACTTTGAGTTTGACTTCCATCAGCCACCTTGTCCTTCTTCTCACCAGCATTTCCTCCTCGGCCTAAGTCTTTATGCCCAGAGCTCTGTGGCGGACCTTGCTGTTTCCGGGCTGAACCTGAAGACTTGGAGGACCCACCATGCGAGCCTGAGCTGGGCCCAACACGGTGTCCCCCAGCTGTTGCTCCCATATTGCCACTACTCCTGTAGATGTTTCCTCCTCCACCTCCGCCACCCCTGCCCCTTCTAGAGGGCACACCCCTAGGGGTGAAGACACGGGCCTGGGAGCCTCTGGGTGGAGCAGATGAAATGTTTACACTGCTAGTGGTGTTATCAGAGCCATTCTTGGTGTTCGGTTTCTGGCTGTCTTCTTTGTCCGAGTGGCCGACATCGCTTGCTCCACTCTCGCTGCCCGTCTCAGAGCCTCTCTCCCTCCTCCTCTTGGGGATTTCTTCATACTCTGAGCCCTCACTGCGGGTTTCACTGCGGTTTCTGGCCCTGGCTGGGTTATGCTGGGACCGATCTTGACCATGCCTTCCACTGGCTCCTTCACCCTTGGATTCCTGATGATGGCCACCACCGGCTGTTGAACGGTAGTCTCTTCCACTCCTGCCACCCATTCTGCCCCGGCTTCCACCTGTGGGTCCAGCACTGGCCGTGTAGGTGCCCCGGTACCCACGGCCTCGCCCATAGAATTCTCCCCCTCTTCCTCTGCTGGCTCTGCCGCCTTTCTGGGGGACTCCATGGTGGTGAGAGGTGTTGCCTCCCTTTTCAAAGGAACGGTCTCTGTCTCTCCTGGAGGAGGACCCTGAAAAACCTGATGAAGTAGTGTCTACATCTTTTTGACCTCTACCTGACCCTCCTCCACCTGAGGATCGCTCTTTTCCACCATTTCTGGGTTTGGCTGTCTGGGGTGGCTCGTCCTTAGATGAAACTGATGTGTTCTGAGAGTTGGAGGAGGCATCCTGCTTCATAGAGACAGGCTGTCCACCATCTTGCTCTTTATCTTTCCCAAATCCTGTGCCTTGTTTTTCTCCTCCATCTGCATCCATTGCCTCTCTCTTGATGTCTTTCAGCACTGGCTTCTTAATGGGCCCAGCCCTCCTGTTGGCATTGCTCCCTCCTGATTGGTTGGAGGGTTTGTGGTCCAATGGAGTGTTGGAAGAGTCCTCTCCTCCACGGGAGTTGTTCCCACCTCCTGCATTGTTGCCCCTCCTTCCGTGAGAGGAACCCCCAGTAGTATTGCTGCCAGGCCGTGGACCCCAGTGTGTCTCTGTCTTATGCTCCCGCCCTCCTCTTTGGTTTGATTTAGGATGAGGATGCTGCTGCTGTGGGGGCTGACTGTGGCTGCCAAGTTGAGCCAGAGGTGGGCTAGAAGTGTTGGCTGAATGGGAAGTATATGCCGGACCTGTCTTCTCTTGTTTCACATGGCCACCACCTCCAGCGTTACCACTGCTGCCTCTTTCAGCGTGACTGTGCCCGATACTGGTTTCGCTCTCTCTCTGTGATGGGTGATGGTGCGGTGCCACTTTGACATTCCCATCCTCCCTGGCGGAAGAGGAAGAGGAGGAAGAGGAGCAGGAGGATGAGAGGGAAGGTTGGTGAAGAGGAGGAGAAGAGTCAGTCTTCTTAGCTGGGGCCTCACCACCTCTGTTCTCTGGCTTATGGGGATGGAGAGGGAAGTGAGGCTGTTGAGGGTGGTGGCTGTGAGGGTGGTGGAGGTGAGAGTTGCTTTCAACAGGGGGATGATCTGGGCGCCCGCTACGATCATAGTGAGGATGTGGGGCTCCCCATATCTGGCCCTGCTGAGCTCCTCGGGCAGGCCCTTCATCCTGGTGGGGGAACCCATGTGGCTGGCTTCCCCTTTCACCCGCCCTCTGATGCTGGTGAGGAGGCATCCTTGCGCCCTGATCGGGGAAGTTGCTGTAGTTGCCCTGTCCACCGATGTAGTGATGAGGGTGATGGCTGCCTCCCTGGTTGCCAACAGGGGGTGGGGTTTGATTGGATGTTCCAGATGCAGAGCTGGGCTGCTGAATGGGTCCCAATCCACCCTCTCGCATGCGGTGTGGAGGAGTGTCGCTCCTATGATAAAGAAAGACAGAATACAAAATAGCAACTTATTCACTCAATAAATGAAAACACAGATGATAAAAAAAAAAACAAAAAAAAAACCACAATACAAACTTACATGGACACTTTTATAGTTGCTCTATATAGCAACAATCTAACAGTAAAGAAGGAGGTTTTATCTTTGATCTCACTCAAACAAAACAAAACGAGTATCCATACCTGGGCCCTTTGGCCACATCATCATCCTCTGATGCCTGCTTCTGTCTCAGGGGAGAAGTTAGCCCACGGTTTTCCCCTCCTCCAGGGAACACCTCAGGCCCCCAGGCCAGCTTAGGATCCATAGGGGGAGTCCCACGGTGAGGATGCCCTGGATGCTGTTGCTGTCTGTCAAAGGGGTCTGAACCAGACCCCCCAGAATCAGACCGCTCACGCCCAATAAGCCCTGAGTAAAATTTTAAGAAAATCTAAGTCAACAGCCAACATTGTGACTTCACAGTAACACAATACCACTGAACATTTTAAGCATGGCCTGTAATACTGCAATATTTCCTGATTTAATTTTATTACTTGTGTTTATGCATCCACTCACCGGAAGGATGCATGCCGGCCTGATAGTATTCCATGGGTGAAGGGCGACTCTGTATCATACGAGGGTCCATGTAGGGCATCATCATCCACCGAGGGTCAAAATTCAACGGTAAGGGTGGAGGTCGAACCATACCGCCAGGCTGATACAAGGGTCCGCCCTGTTTAGGTCCAGGTACAGGCTGGGGAGTTGAACCTGGTGAAGGACCTTGTGGAGCCTGGGTCTGTGGGGACAGCTGGCTTTGTGATGCCTGGCTGTGTTGTTGCTGCTGTTGCTGTTGCCACTGCTGCTGTTGCTTTAGGAGTTGCTCCTACAGAGAAGTGAATGGAAAAATGCAATCACTCAGGTTGTTTAAAAGCACTTCCCTTTGAGTAAAAAAAAAAGTAAAAAGAGAAAATCACGGTAGCCCTGCTCATTCAGAATGCAACAACAACTTTTAACTGAATTTCTCTCTTACGTTTGGAAAAAAAAAACAAAAACAAAAACAAACCTGCTGCTGCCTCTGAAATCGAGGTGGAAGAGACTTCTGATACTTTGAGTAGCCCTGGCCAGGAGGGCCACCAGCTTGACGACCGGATCCCCCTCCGATATTTTCAACCTTTACTTGGTCGATTCCTCTTTCGCCTCCACTTCCTGTACGAATGTGAGGAGTGCTCACAGCTTCTTCCTTACTCTCTCCTAGTAAAGGTACATCCAGTGTGGGCTGCTGCGGCTGTGGTGCAGCCAACTGGGGACACTGTTGGGTATCTAAATCAAGAACAAAGTTGCAGGGTTAAATCTGTAGTCATCAAGATTATTATGTGGTGTATTTACTTATTACACTTACTTAAATGCTATATTAAATAAAGAATAGAAATGTTATTTACTTGAATGCTTCTTGATGATTTTTGTCAGGATAGGTCTGTGTTTCAGGCCATTTGCATCTGAGAAACTCACCTGCACCAGAGTCGTAACTGCTGTTGCTGCTGGGTCGCTGGCGGTCATTACCAGCTGGACCTGTCCCTGACGGGACAGCTAGCACTGGAGGCTCCTCAGAGTCCACGCAGGGGGAAGGAGGCTGGCTGATATTAGGGGAGGAAGCTGAAACTGATGGACTTGGGCTGCCTGCCGTAGCAGCTGTTGAATTTCCATCAAGGCTAGGGGTTTTGCTGCCGCCACCACCACCAGCAGCACTTGTGTTGCTGCTCTGCTGCTGCTGCTTTTCATCCAGCCTCTTCAGCTTTTCCGCACAGGCTGCACGTCTTTCCTCCTCCATCCTGCGTTCTTCCTCTTCACGCCTGCGACGAGCTCGCTCAACAGCAGCAGAAATCTCAGAGGATGACTGCTTCCTGCGCTGACGCCACGTCTCGTCCTCATCATCCCCCTGGGCCGCATGAACCAGCAGACCAGGCTGTGTAAGAGGGTTAGGGGCTCCTGCTGCTGGTTGATGCTGGGCAGGGGCAGGTTTCCCCTGGCCAAGAGAGGCTCCCTGATTGTGGGGCCGATCCTGAGGAGTTAGAAAACACTGAATGTTTTATCAAGAAGTTTTTAACCTTCCAAGTGAAATTACTGTAATCTTTTAAAAAGTAGAAATGTATGTATGAATGATAATCTCCACTGTAACAAAAACCAAAGTGAAGGGGGGGGAAAAAAGGGAACTTAAAACTAAAAATGACTTTGCTATAAGACCCGTAGGTGGTGGATGAGGCAATGACAGAAATGATTATTCTATGAGGCCCTGTCCTGATGTCTACCTGTCGGTAAAAGGAGTAGGGCCCTGGTCCGAGGAGCGGCCCAGGTGGGGGGGAGGGCTGCTCCTGGGGACCACCCAATCCAGGCCTGCGCCCCTGTATACAGGCAGACACAGTTAGCTAAGGTCCACCACAATAATCTACACTGATGCAAAATACAGACACTCACACATGCCTGCCCACTAAAAAAGTCTTGCCTTAACAGAATGGACTCTGTAACCTGTTTTTAATTTGAAAACTTCACAAGGCCTCAATGTAAGGTAAAACCTTAGGGCCTTATCCACTGCAGGAACTCAGAGCACACATTTACGACCCCAAATCAGCCCGTTTAAGCCTGTTCCCATTGTGGTGTAGGATTCACCACAAATCTTCCTGTGCCAAAAAACCCCACAAAAATCAAGGGATTCAAGAGGACAATTCTACGTTGCTTCTCTTCCTCACCTGCATAGTAGTTACAGGTAAGTTTTTTTTGGTCTGAAAACACCCCTTTAAGAGGTCCTAAAGGGATGGTTCCTAAAAGAGCCCACAGGTTCCTGCAGTGAAAAATGTCTTGTTGTTACTGCTGTTCAACACAGTACCTGATAGGTGGATGGCGCTCCCTGGCTCACCCAACCACTTCCTCCCTCCTCGGCCCATCCTGGCTTGCTGGAGGGGGGTTGGGGGCCATTGTCAACATTAGAGGGAGGGGTCCTGCGGGTCTCTCCGCCGCTGTCTGAGGCTCGAGAGTGAGAGGTTGCATTGGGGGCATCCTGAGACCTCTGCTGATCACTGAGGACAAGAAGGACAAAAAATGTAAGTGAATAATATCTAGAAAAACAACAACAATCTCTCCCCCCCCCCAAGAGTACTGTAATTTATTACACATTAAATGTACTTGGTCACTCACCGCGGATCAATCTTGCTCTCGTTTCTATCCTCTTCTCCCTCTTCCTCTCCTTCATCATCGCTGAACTTCAGCTTGGCGGAGTAATCTATCTCTTCATGAGCTCCTGTTTCAGCAAAACAACAAAAAACAAAATGGAAGCCATCAGAACCATGTTTGTGCCAAACATCTACAGTGTGACATTATTCAGCAACCATCACTAATCCTTCTCCCTCCCTCCAGCAACTTAAACCATGCTGGTCGGATCAGCATGAAATTTGATATGCACCAACAACAGCAATCCTCGAAAGCAGAAAAAGGAAGGCTCGGCAGAACACGCTCTGCACAGCTGAACTAAATTAACTTGCATAAGCAAGACACACAAAAACAAGTCTTTACCTAAAACACAGAAGGTTATGATTCTTGTTCTAGGTCTGTAACAACATTAAAAGTAACCAATTATTTCAGATCTTTTAAAGCCATTTGTTAAAATTTCAGTTTCTGCATGCTTTAGAGCCCTCCTCCAAACAGAAAACTTTCTGTTTTTATTATAGATAGGAACAACTTGAAAAAAGAAAATAACTTCATTTAACAAAAACACTGTTTTAGTGTATATTTGGAGGTGGCTTACAAACTTAGAACCAGTTTTATGATGTTTCACCTTTGTGAATGGAATTTTTTATTTTTTTTTTACCTGCCCAGCCTTCGTCTCCATCGTGGTCCAGCTCATCTAGCTCCTTCAAATCGTCTTGTTTTAAAATGGAGGGTCGCTTTACCACCTCTCCACCCACATCGCGTGGACCGCCCTGTGACCTGCTCTCAGGACCAACCGGCCCACGAGAGAACCTGAAATAATGGGGGAGGTTCTTTTTTAAGGGATATGATGAAAACAAAAAAAGCATGGCCCAAAAAAAAAAGCAGCTCTTGATTACTTAGGAGTTAAACTATAGGCCATTTGACTGCACTGAAGAACATTTTCCCTCCACAGTGAAATTAAAAGTAGATGAAGTAGCATCTCAGTGAACATACCTTGGAGCTGTCCCTTCACCAGGTGGTGGGTACCTGTAGGGCCCTTGAGGCCCATAGGGGCCCGGGAAGGGCAGATAGGGAGGATACATCTAGGGAGTAAAAACAGATCCAGTTCAGACACCCATTTCTTTTGTTTTTGTTTGTTTATTTATTTGGGCGAGAAGATAAAGATAAATGCAAATAAAAGAAAACTAACACTTACGAAGGGGGGTATGATCCCTCGATATTGGGGGAACCCAGGCCCCACAGGAGGCTGGGGCAAGGGCAGGGCGGGGCTGCCTGCAGGAGGGTTCCTAGGTGGCCCGTGGTTCTGTGAGTTTGGAGGGGGGACCCCTGCTGCCCCATCCATCACCAGAGCTCCACCAGTGCCACCCTCGGTTACCCCCTCCCCAGGCAGGGTGGGTGCCAGGGCTCGGCCCCCACCATCCCGCCAACTTGTAACGTCTGAGGACAGTGAAGACAGGAGAGGACGGAGTGGTTAGTATGATTTATGGACTTTTATGTAATCAGAACAAGAATGGAAAGTCATTTTTTATGATTATGAATGTGAAGAGCAATGAATATCAATACTGTCAGTTAGTAAAGTTCAAAAATAAATAAATACAAATGAAAATCCTGCCCGAGGTGTTTCTCTCCAAACTACCATAGACAAATAAGTGGATGACAAATTATTAGAGACAAAGCTTGCATTACTCACTCTGGGGGCGGAGGCTTGGTCCGGGCCCATACCACTGATCTGCAGTGCCCTGTTCTTTGCCAGCTTTGTCCTGGTCGCCAGCCGCCTGCAGGGTGGGAAATTCCTCGCGAGAGAATGGCGACGGTAGGTTTGATCCCTTTCCACCTGCAAAAACAGATGATGAAAAGAGGGGCTGAGTTGCAAACAAACAAACCCATTGAAGAACATGCAGCAAAAGAAGGACTCACCATCCCCTTGTGTTCCATGTGTTCCACTGGCCTGTGCCCAGGACCTTGCCCCTACGGCCTGGGTTGAAGCTGGGGCCAGAGCCTGAACACGGTGCACACACAAAGTCAAATACCATATGATACACGCCAGCTAGCAGTGCTAGATGTCTTTCGGCAACCATTACTCAGGGTATATTCTGTTTTAATATTATGGAGATGACGTGTACCTCTGAAGCTTGCGGGGTTCTCGGGCGGGTCGGTGCAGGTGTCTGTGAAGCCACAGGCTGCTGCGACTCCGGCTGCGGTGCTGACAATGCATCGGTACTGAGAGGGAAAAAGCAGACATACAAGTCTTCAGATCGAATGCAACAAGCAATCACACAAGAATAAAACTACTTGTTACATTAACACCCAATAACTTGAAGGTGCATGATTACAGCTTTCTTACCTCTTTGGGTCTGCTGCTTCCTGTTTGCTTGCCCATCCTGTGCCGTCTTTGGGAACGAGCGAGACGTTAGGATCGTTGCCTTTGTTCTCTGCCTTCAGACTGGGCAGGTTGGCAGGGGGTGGCATACGCCGCGCAGAGGCAACTTTACCAAGAGACTGCAGGCCATGGCGTGGGGGAACTGATATGGAAACAAGAAAGAATAGAATAGAAATAATTCTTTAATTGTCCCACAAGGGGAAATTTAGTTGTAACAGCAGGAAGTCGTTAGCACAGATGGACCACAGAAACCCTACACTGGTGAAATCCAGAGGGAGCCTGAAAACAGGGATGGCATTCTGATTACTTGCTGGATGTAAAATTAGGGTGCTGAATCACTGAGAAGGCTAAAAACGTGGTAGTTTTGGTCTGGTGATTCTAATGAATGTGGATTTATTTTTTTAAACAAACAAACAAAAAACTCTCTTGACGTTATTAAAAACATTCAGCAAACCCACTTCAATTACAATTTTATAGAAAAGCATTAGCACATTGATGCGTACAGAACCATGGAAAAGCCTAAAAGCAAAGCCATTCTGAATATCAATCCCTCATTTGTTTTCCTAAGGCTCAGAGCAACCACAGCAGCTTCAGGCCTTCACTATGTAAGAGGGGGCAAGTCTGTAGTCGGGGAAAGGGGACAGCTGCTTGAATCTAGAGGGCAGCCTCTGAATAAAACATAAACTGGGGTCTCAGCATACAAGTCAAACAGCATCCACAAGTAAGCCTCTGTCTCTGGTCAGCCTCAGTGTCTCTGTAGCTCAGCTAATACATCGAGCCTCAAGAGCCATTCACCCTCCAGGACCCCCTTTTCCCTTTGTTATTTCTTTAACACCTCAGTGCAAACACTAGTCAATAACAAAAAGTATAACACAGTTTCATCAAAAAACAGTGCTGATAGATAGATAAACTTTGTGTATTAAAAAGCAGCACCATTAAGGAGACCCTAAGCTAACACTTCAAAGTTGCATTAGTTGGTGGAAACACAATACAGCGAGAAAATTGTAATCACACTAATGAGCAGATCCGACTGAGATCTGTTTGTTTAAGTTTCAAATGATCAGTGACAGCACAGGTTTTTACTAAACCACACCACCTGGCAGAATTTAATTAGAGCCCTTTGAAATCTGTTACAACTGCTTAGAAAGTGATGCATGCTGAGAATGTAGATAATAACAATGTTATTATCTACATGTTATGATATGTTGTGATAGCCATAAGCTCTGACTTTCAGGTTTTACCAAACCAGCTAATTCAAAGAAAGCCTGGCTATGCTGAATCTGATTCATAGTACACCCCCTCTGGATGTATGCTGTGAAAGCTTGTGTGTTCTGAAGCTACTCACCAACAGGCTTTTGTGTTTCAAGGCTCTTTCCTTTGTATGTATCAAACAGGTTGAGAGACGCATACTTGGTTTTGCCTTCCTTCCCCTTTGCAGTTTGCCCAGAGCGATCTGACATTGCGCTGTCCGCTCATTGAGTATGGTGAGCCCTGAGACTGTAGAAGAAAGAAGAGACAAGGAGAACAAGAATACACAGAAAGAGAATGAAATGAGCTGAATTTTAACTATATTTAACAAGGGATTACAGTTATGATACAGTTATGTTTCTTCCAGCTGACATTAGGTATAATTCCTTTCAGATTAATAGGTGTAGCAAACCTTTCTTTTAAGGCAGCTCTATGAAACAGGATATTCTGAAACACAATGACACAGCACGTAGGGATAATACACTCAGATTAGTTTATTTTTTTTATTTTCCTACAAATCAGAATAATTGGCAATTTACAGCATTTTCTGGGGCTTTTCTGGTTTAATTTTACTTCTATGTCTGAAGCAATATTCCTCCATTTTAATTTTTTTGTCAATTCAAATGACAAAAAAGATGTCAACAAAATATTTGGCAAATATCAGCATCATCTGATACCAGACTTACTGATTTTTATACAAATTAATGAGATGCCATGTACCTACATGAGTGGCTAATATTTAACTTTTTACATTCCTTTTGCACTGGCTAAAGGAAGACAGTCTTTGTTTCTCTGACACAGGTGAGAAATAAAAAAATACATTTAAAAACATTAAAACACAAGAACTCTTGTCTCATTATTAGCTGAAGTGTTATTGTAAACATCAATATTAGCCAACAATTTTTCAGCCTGTCCATCAGTAATTTAAACAAAGGAGTGCAAGTTGATATATTATAACATCTGCTACATTTACGACCATACATCTGATTTAAAAACACTTGTTTTTATATTTTGAGGTATTCATTCAACACTTAGCAACTTAGTAAAGACTGGTGTGACTTTGACTAACCTGTCTGTAGACTGTGGGCTTATAAAGTTAAACAACTTAACCGTTCCCTATGACAATGTGGACATCAGTCCAGGAAACCAACTTCGTAACATAAAAATTAACTGAAAGCTTTTGAGCATGTGTATAGGTAAGACCATAAGTTTTCTGTCACATATTGCTGAATGTCATCTAACTTGGATTTGGTGAATCAACAACATATAAAGACAAGAATCAACACAGTTTTTGGATCAGATAATGGTCTAATCCTGACTCAAAAAGCTGGACTAATATATTGGTGACCTCTGAGTGACCTATGAGACAAATATATTCAGTTCAATTCCACTTTTCTAGCAGGAGAGTTTAACACAACATGGAAGAAGCTAACAATAAAGTAACAGTGGTTTAGAGGCGTTTCACAGCTGTGACACCAACAATTTTTCTTTGTATGTTTGCAACAGTTTTGAATTTAACCAAGAATTGTGGCCACATGACTGGAAAAGTCAGGCGACAGGAATGCCTTCACTGCCCTTTGCTTCGAAGCACTTGCAATTTTTATGATAACATAATGCATTCTTGACAACTTGGTTAATATTATTTGAATTTCAGGTTTCTAGTCAACTCTACTCCAATATGTGTGTCAAAACGTTAAGTACTTAGCTAGAAAGGAGAGACTAGCGTGCAAAGAGCAGTAAGCAGTAAAGAATAAAGTAGAATTCATGGTAGCATGTTCATGTTTGTTTTGGTAGGCATTTAGCTAGTCAACCTACAAAGATGTGCTTGAATGTGCTTGTATGCAGTCCCCCACAGCCAAAAAATTAATTAATAAATAAAAAAAGCATGTAGCAGTGATGATATGCATGCATAGGATGCTGACTGATTAAAAAGTTGGGTTGAACATTAAAGGAGGTGATAATGCAGTTCACCACGGAGAGAAAGAAGTGTTAAAAAATAATATTAATAAAGAAAATAAGTATGAGAAGCACAGAGCTGCAGTGTTCATTACTTTTAACACCTGCCTTCACATCACTACAAAGAAACATGAGTTTGTTCTCTGTGGCAATGGTTAAAACTAAAGGACAAATAACAGCGCAAACACATACCTTTTGGTCTACACAGTTTTAGCTCTTCCCCCTTCTGACGATACATAGACACAACATGCAGACATTGGTCTGCAAAGCTCTGCATAGGACTAACACATAGCCACGGTGATTCCTTCATTTCTCTTAATTTGTCATCCCTCACCACGAGGTCCCATCTACAATTCAAGAGATACTATAACGTACTAACTAAGCCAGCACCTTTTATCAAGACTTAAAACTGTCTTTATCAACAGTGTCTGTAGTTGTCCATATCCACAACTGAGTACAATCTCTAGCCAGCTATCCACTATTCAAATACATTAGATAAACTGTGCATTTCTGATTTTTAATAAAGACCTTTTGGATGCATTTATTTAACAATTTGTTTCAAAAAGTCAGAAAAAACTTTATGTGTAGACTACTGTTGCCATATATATATATATATATATATATATATATAAAAAAGAGAGAAAAGACTCCAGCTTATTAACTGAACACTAGTACTGGTTCGGTACTGTATCAGCAGCAACCTGGAGCCAACATGTCAGTTCCATTTTCTATTTGTATAAATTCAGATAAGCAGATCTCTATATGCCCATATGGACACAGTTTAATGGGAGCATATGACTGCACCATTTATAATACAGCAATAACACCAGCATAATTTTTTATGTGCTATAAAAATGTCATACTATATATAGCAACATTATACATTTATGATCTGTAGTGCACACAACAAGACAAGCCTGTCATGTCTGATAGCAAGAGCTGCATAGTACCTAAGAAGCCCCTCCCAAAGTAGTGCTTTGTAAAACATGAGAGAAAACTGTTCCTGTTGAGTGTAGAAAAAAAAAACTTGTTTCAGTGCTTGAAGCAAAAACAGATGATCAAGTACAACCAGCTAATAAAGGAGGAGATACTAGGAGCTAGTGATGTGCGACTCAAATGTAAACAAATGGCTCCACTGAGCTATTTGCTAACTGCACTCCATGTGACAGGAAGAGCAAATGGTGGATGGAAATTACTGATGTGGTTACAAGGTGGTGAAGCAGGGCTATGAGCAGGTGGTTAAAATGCACGACCCAAAGCACAACACCCCAAGAAATATGCGACAATACCATGCATCTCCGGAAGACTTAAGGTTAAGTTACTTTATTTACTGTTGTTCTAAAGTGTTAACCAGTTATTTTATACTCCTTAAACATTCCAGGAAAAACAAAACCTAGGCTATTTTTGTGCTACGTTTGACTTATGCTGTGTCACTACTATTGCACCACAATGCTGCTGCTGTCATCTTGCTTCAATCGATTCAAACATCAAATCAAGAAGTGTGTCAAGTGTGTCATCAAATACAGCAACTCAATGGAAAAGGATGGATAATGCCAAACTGATAATTTTCTTAAAATATCATGACATTTTAGGGCTATACTGTTCAACCCTAGTTAGCAGACGTTCACTGCTTATCAGATGAACATTATTTCCAAAATAAGGTGGGGAAAAAGCAGAACCATGGTTTCTATGGAAACACATTATAAATGATATTCTTCATGCCTTGAGACAGAGGGTTCGGCTCCATGGCAACTGCCAGGCCTTTAGCTTGAACTCATTTTACTGCACATCAATAAAAGACAGGGCACTGACATCTGTCCAATTCACAGCGATTTGGCTGCATCCATCAGGTTAAACTGCTGCCACCACCTCCTACCCCCATTAGGCACAATGACTGCGAACACACGGGTCTCCAAGATCGTGAAGACTTTGTCACATCGTCATATCATTTTATTCACTTAGCTTCAATAAAAAAAAAAAATGAATACTGACGTGAGAAAGCCAATCTAAATGGTCTGTGTTTAGAAAACAGTGATTATAGAGATATAGGTCTGTGCTACAGTGACTCAAGCGTTAAATAACTGAAAGGTGGGAAGACGTCTCATTAGATGGCTGCATAACACAAACAGCAACACATTCCCAAGATATGCTTGAAGACTCAAATATGCAGCCTTCTACTGCGCACTGACGATCATCAAAGGAGCAAAATGTACGATGTTTGCTTTTACACACATCACTTTAAAAAAAACAAAAACAAATAACCCTTCGTTAATTACTTTTTAGAAAAGGTTGCACACGGTAACTACGAAGCTGCGGCAGCCCCGCAGCGAGCCTCAATAACCAGATGAGATTAGAAAATTAGGTCGTGGGATGGCTGGTCAGCTAGATGTTGTATGGGGATTAACTGGAGCCCTAAGTGCAGCAACGTATACCACAAAGAGGCCCCGTGAAGCTAAAGGCTAACCGTCAACACCAACTACGACGGGCAAAAATCAGCTAGTAGCTCCAGGAATCATTGCCTTGTACATGTATATGCAAAACAGAAACAGCGGAGCGGGGATGTGTGATGTTTTTCTTTTCTTTTTTTTACTCCTGTGGTGCTAACCAGCTCGATGCTAACAGAGGCCCTCGGTGATCTCGTTGGGAGGGGGACTGCGTTGATGTTTCATAATGTATTTTCAACACCTCGCAGCTATCACTTAGCTCACCGCTTGTCAGCTCCATGCTTTGAACCACACAGTGACATTACGACTGTTCGTCCTTTCCGAACTCTTCTGCTTACTTACAGTTAGTGGGAGACTCGGGGTAACGCAGAAAAAAACTGATTTTTATTAGATGAACAAAACAAAATGGCGGTGTAGATGGGCCCTGTGCATACTACCCCAGGCCGGTTGGGTAGCATTAGAGAGCTGGCTTGTGTAGGTACATACTACTTAAAATACACTACACTATACAACTTAACTGTGCTGGAAAAAACAACCACTGACAAATCACCAATACTGACAACGGGAGAGTCTTTTAATCGGACACCTTCCGAGCTAAAGCTGAAGCCTCGCTAACGTTTATCCGCTAGCACTAGCCACGAAAAAAAAACATCTAATAGTAAACAGATATTTCATCAGCACACAAACGTCTCAGACACCTTTACTAAAAGGTAAATAAATGTGTGTTTACACACTAAAAAACAAGTGGCTGAATTCAGAACCTAGCGAATACTAGTCAACCACTTAGCCAAGCTAGGCTAATGAGCTAGACAGCCACCTAACGTTAGCTATGCCTTTGCAAAAATAAAAAATAACCTCGATCCTTAACCAAAAACACCCTCACAGATCCGCCGAGCCCTTGCCCAGAGGTAAGAGTAACAATGTCTCTTCGGTACAATGTAACTGCCCAATGTCCGCATGGAAACATGCACAATTTTTCCAACCACTGACCTGGTCTTGTCCCGACTTGTCTCGAGGTTGTATCGCTGAGTGAGGTTAGCTTATGCTATCACGTATAGCCTCTTTCCAGCAAGTGACCCAGCTAGCTAAGCAACGTTATCCTCTCGCATAGTCAAACCAACACACTCTGGCTTTGCTCTAACTTTGATACCAGCGGCAACGTATGGATAAAGAAGATATTCGGCTTACTTGTGCTCCTTTTCTTTTTTTGTAACTCCCAAAAATAAATGAAAAGGGGGGAAAAGAAAATGGTTAATGCTGGACTCGATCCGTCGCCTAAAGAGCCGTCAACGGCTACTGAGCCGTTTGGGACCTCTACAGTAAAATAAATAAGCCACTCTTATGTTTTTTAAAGCGCAAGAGAAGCCTCTCTGAAAGAAATGTGAATATTGCAAAGTTAATACCAAAAATATCTAGAAAACTTATCCATGAAAAGTTAAACAATTAATTTTGCAATAGAAATCTGAAATTTCAAGTTTTTAATATGTAGATGGTGCATTATCTTTTTTAATATATGTTAATTGTAATACATTTATCAACAGAAATCTTAACATTTGATTACAAACATTTTACATTTTTTATATGTTACGATTTCTGTATTTATCACTTCATAAATAAATAATAATAATAATATAAAATAAAAATGCTAAAAGACACAAAGTTAAAACTTTTCCACCTCTGTGCAAAGATTTTGAGCCATGTTTCTTTATATTATAATTGAAGGAGCCAGTCCTTGTTTTTTAAAGTGGTCTTGAACAATACTTCTCCAGTCTTTCTGAACATCTTTCAAAGTTTTCCTTTGGCCATTGGCTGCTTTTTCACTCATTTTCAGTCCAGTCTTTCTACCTGACCATTTTCAGAGGAATGTTTGTTTGTTTGTTTGTTAAACCATTTAACTCTGACCTATGAGTCATTTAAGCAGAAAAGGGCACCTAATTCAAGGGATGAACCAGTGTTATGTCTACAAAAGCAATTTGGCAAAGAGACCGTTTTAAATTGTATCTTGAGGCATTTTGTTACTAGCAGCCTGTTGTAAAAGGACACCATTCGTTCACATTTCCTTAGCCAAAGAAAATGTAGTTTATCAAATTGTATTTTTACATCAAAAAGGCAATTCTCAATAAGCTACTAGTTGGAAACTTGGCATATCTTGATATCTACAGTGTGTCTTTAAAAAGGTGAGGAAACTGGACAAGTGGAGGACAAAAGAAGACTGTCCTAAAAGCTATCTACATCGGATGAACAGTATCTGAAATCCATGTCCTTAACAAAAGTTGAAAATTTAGGTTCAAATCATCATCAGTATGTACAGAGGAAGTCAGGAGAGGGTTTTGACGACAAGTACATGAAATTTTGATCCACCATGCAATGCAATTTGGAAAGCCTGTCATTGGCAACAGCTTCTTTTCAGCATGGCAGTGATCCCAAAGACGCTGTCAATGAAGTAAAAGCATGCCTTGATAGAAAAACACACAATGGAGCATTTATCGGTCATGGATTGACCTCAACATTATTGATCATCCCGACAGAGAATACAATAAAAGGCAGGCACTGACCTTTGAGAAGACTGGAAAGCCATCCCTGAAGACTACATAAAGAAATGAGAAGAAATGAGGACTGGCTCCAGACTTTTGGTTGTACTATAGATGGATAGATAATTTGCAGTGTGAAATTCCAGTCATGCCTATGGAGCCACTTATTTTTTTAAAACAAAAAGATTGCCAGTAAAAGTCTACAGCTGATTACTTACACTGAGATGTCTTTTTTTGTGAGTTTTATAAAATGTTATGATTTAATTTTCCATATATGCACTAATTTGCATGAATATTGACTATAAGTGTATGAAATAAAGACCTATATGTGTATTTGAGTTGACTTTTTCCAAGCGTAAACAAAAACATGTCAGAAAAATTGACGTTGGCATGACATTTGCAACATATTTTTTTTACCTCATGACTCAGTTGTGACTTTCAAAAGGCGATTCATAATTAATCAATTTTTTTAAACTACATTCTATTAAAATGCAAAATATGTTAACCTGTTGATATGCCTAACAGCTGATCATTGAATATATTTTCATATTCATATCCCAACTAAATGTTCTTTCTTTTGGAAAACTCAGCACACTGATTTTCATTCTAATGTAAAGTAAGTTTCAAAATAAAAGCAGTAAATATTTTACAACTTAAAACTGAAAAA